TTTCACGTCAGTGAAGCACAACAAGTTCCTTTGTGCGACAAATTCTACAGGTATCCATTCGTTGGATAAAAAGAAGAATAAAAACGAAAAAGAAATGCAAGACCATTTCAAAGCTCTCGTTTTGCACACCCGAGCTACAGGAATAACGAGCAGCCAACGTCTGTTCTTTCGTTTATCCAAAATACGAAAGGAAACGAGGAATATATTGTCAAAAAGAAGTATGAAACTTGAAAAAAATATAAAATAGACTAAAATAAAAAAAAATATGTAAAACGAAAAAATGTAAATAGCTATAGCTCTCTCATTTTGCATCATTGTTTACTTTTTGCCTTTTATTTCCTCTTTCTAGCTTCTTTTTCATCTCTTCTTTACCACTTGAATTAAACTACTCTGATCTCTTGAACCATCTTGAATTCAAATCATAGCTATTTCGAATGATATTTTTTAACTTCTTATTATGAAGTTATTGTAATGAGGTCGATTTTTAAAATTCGTAATTTTATCATATCTTTACGATTTGAGACATTTTAAAGCACATTAGAAGGTTTAACAGGAGATATCGACTCCGGAAATATTTCATTTTAAAGATAATACTCTAAAGAAAACACTGTAAATCTCAGTTTTCCAAAATGCATTATTTTAATGCGGATAAGTGTGTTAAATATGACGTCAACCATTTGATTAACATTGTAGTTGTTGGAATATGAACAAAATTCAATTATTATTCTTTAGTTTATAATATCTTAATAAACATTCTTATTCTCACGGTTATATCTATATTATAAGCGTGTGTTCCAGTGATGATGGAACTACGTCGTAGGCTAAGTTTATATTACACATCGATGTTTATATTATTTTTAAGATAATTATTAGGACTGATTATATATAAATATTATATAGACTAAGTACTATTCTCGTTAGTCTATGAGAGTCTCTCAGCCTGTGCAGATATGTTTTTCGAGCCTTCTTTTATTAATAAAATAATTGAATAATAAATCTAATAGTTTACTTATTTATTCATTAGAATAAATATCATAAATCTGAATTTTCAACAGTAGTCACTTTTAACGCAGATCTAAGTGTGTAAAAAGTAACTACAATGTTAATCAAATGGGTGACGTCATATTTAACACACTTATCCGCATTAAAATAATGCATTTTGGATAACAGATTTACAGTGAATCTCATAGGAGTTTGAACGAATTCAGTCCAGCCGTTTTTTTTTATTTTAATTTATTAAATTATTATGACTATGATTATATTTGATAAATATAAATAAAATATTGTTATAAATCACTTTATGTGATTAAATAATTTTATATTATTTATAAAAACGGCAATTCATTATAAACAAAAATAATTCAATGATGACAAAATGATGGATCTCAATAAATGAGAAGTTCGTCGTTAGGGCACAAAGTAAGCTCAGACCCATTTTTTAATTTTAAAATGAATTATGAAAGAGCTTAATTATTAATATTTTTCTCAGTTAAATTTGAAATTTCTTTCTTATTTTTGATGATTTATTCTATAACCATATTACGCTTAAAGCACATCTCCAAATGTATATGTGCTAATGAATTACAATTAATAAAAGAAGAATAATTAATATCAGGTCAAATGAATGTTCTCAGCATGATTTAGCTTTTAGAGCTTGTCAATAATTGAAGAAAGACAATCACCCAAGCAGGAATAATTAACGGAATCCTCAATTCCGTAAGGAGTCAACATATCAATCAGACACTTTCGATCTAATCTTGAACATTTCTCCAATACAGCAACAACTTATTATTGAATAATACCAATTATTTGATTTTCACATATCTCTTTTTTAATTGAAGCGATAATTCAATCGAAATTACTTTAAATTCAACCAACGGTCTCTTATTCAACATACACATGATTCTATTATGACTGCAGAGGGATAACACACGAATATTTGGTCTCGGTTGCTGAATCTCGCAATTGGCGAATTATTGGGTCTGCAAGCACAAAGACGTGCAAATCCCAACATGGATTTCACCAGGCTGCCCATGTTCTAATTCTGAGCTCTTGTCCTCAGATGTGCGATAAGTTTCAGTCAGGAGAATCCTTGATTTCCTTTAATTGTTAACAATTTGATCAATCATTTTATTGAAATTACAATATATTCCATTTCATTATAGACAATTTAAAAAATTGTATAAAGATCATAACGACATATTTGAAAAGTGTCTATTTGTTAAGTCCTTGTCAAGAACTATTCAAGTTTTAAAACCATTTTTCTATCATTTTTATAAAAAAAGATGAAAAGAGTTACTTCAATATAATTCAAAAAAACATATGAATATTCTGAAATTTTTGATTTTTTTATCAAAAAATATTTCTACTAAATTATCTAGCATATCAAAGATTTAATTCTTATCCAATTACACCCAGTATCGAGAAAAAATTCTAACCAGTTGACTGTAAGAACCAATATATTCACTCAATTAAATTTAAAAAACCAAAGCTGATGATATCTAGTCTATCAGACAATTACCTAGTCAATCAGTAGTGACGTGAAGTTAATAAAAAAATTCTAAAAAACCATAAAATACATGAGAAATATTTCGAAGGAATATTCGTCATATTTTCCATAGCTTCTATTCTGACGTATATTGAATGGATCTATAAAAAAGGAAGACGAATGAATGGCATATCACACAGTCGGATATACAGTGTCAAAGTGATTCGTGTATCGTTCATAGGATCACGTTTCCTATAACACACATATATAGAGGCATGTGTTCACCAGCAGTATGGCTATAAATCTCTGAGTCTCTCTGATCCGACGGTCGCGACGTCACGTCCATATCCTCGATCCTACGGCCTACGTTGCTATCCTGAACTATATCCATTCACATCCTTTACACTATCTCTCCTACAGGTACTATCACAACTACATCCTTCCCTTTCATCTTTCAAACATATGATTTATGTTTTCGTAATTTATACATCGTGCAATGCAACCGAGTTGTAGTCTTGTGTTATCATAAAACCACAAGCTCCTGTGACACCAAGTCATTCTAGATATTTCAGAGTTCACGAACAAACTCTCAAGAAGAGTCAAAGGGGGTGAAAGAAACCAGTAGGGAAAATTGTCTGGTAGAATGAAGCATCAAGGGAAACATTCCGGCTTTGGTCAGACATTCTTCAGCGTCTTGTCTTCTAAAACGACAGAAATAGATTAGATGGAAGATTGTAATAAGAGGATTACTTAGATGAAACCTCCATGATAGACGAATTGATTTTTTCGATATATTTTTAGCTTTCGAAATCATTATCAAATAGATTTTACACTAATGGACTTAGTAATTTTGCTTTTACATCCACCACATTTACGTTACCATTGAGTGCACTTTAACGAGCTGTAATTAAAAGTTGCACAACGTCTGGAATTACTTCTGGTGTATTGTTCTATTTCCTACTATATTCTATATCTCAGATATCTCTCCCTGTCTTCATATAAATTCTAAGTATCCTATATACTAATATTATATACCTTATATACCATTTGTGCTGACGTTCAGCCATATACTTTTTTTACATTATACAACTCTGTCTTATCCTTATGTCGTAACTGCCAGCAATATCCATATAAATTTTTCAAATGTCTATAGGCAAAATGAGACTTTAATGATGAATTTGCTGAAGATCTTGATAGATGAAATTGAAACATTAACCGTAAACTGGATCTGGAATGAAGTTTATTTATGAACAGAATGTAGATAGAAATAATCTACTTCTATTTTTAAAAGAACAATGGAAACTAAAAACTAAAAAATTTATAAGAAATATATGATCTTTTATGATCTATTGATAATGGAAAAAAAGAAAATGAACATTGTTTTATTCAAAGAAAGAATTTGAAGATTTATAATAAAAAATCTATGAATGACTTTGACAAAAGTGAATTGAAATAAATGGAACAGTTTCATAAAGAAGTAATTAAAATAAATGAAAATCGAGTTACAATTATAAAAGTAATTATTGATCAAATTGAGAAGTGGAGTAAAATTAAATATACATTGTAAATTTATTATTGCAAATAAAAATTTTAAAAAATGCTAGAAACTAAGGAGAAATTTTTCGAATTCGTTTTTAACTACTGTTTAAATTTGAAAGCTGAAAAATGACACAAATGTCATGATTCTACTATCATTCTGGATTCATTCACATATATTATCGTTTTATTTAAGTATATTCTGATCAAAAATAATTTTATTCTTGATCCAATAATATCGTCTTTTCAATGGTAATTAACCAATTAGTTAAAATTATTAATATAATAAATTTTAGTATAAAATTCAACTTGGTTTATGAAGATAATTCTTCTTCGTCTTTTAATTTTGTTCTCAAACTAATTGCTTCATCACTTAATTTTTATCTATCCAAATCTTTCCCTTCAGAGTAAATTTTTGGAACTACCAGAAACTTTAGAAGAATGAATCAATTTTTCTTCATATCCAAAACATTGAAACTCTGAGCATAAGCTATTTTGATGTAAGAGAACTCGGAGCAAGATAGATTTTCCGATTTTTGGTACATTAGTAAGGCAAAATGACTCCTTCGAAGCTATGGATAAGAAAGTTAAGACTGAAATTAAAATATGCCTATTTCTCAAATTACGTTATTATGTCTATTATTCATCGTCTCAAAAGTTAAAAAACCGTTTTGCTCCATGGACCCATCTTGCCCCAAGTTCTCCTAATATCGGCAGAGCAAAATTTACAGTCTACTGCAAATCGCTATGAAAATACAAGTCCTCGTTAATTTTTGTTTTAATGGCATTACTCGATTATAGTTGGGTTGAGTATCGATTGAGCTACCTAATTGGATGCTATTTTTTGCAGTAAGATTGTTATACAATCACCAACCGTAGAAATGCAATTACTGAAATGCGGTATATTTTTTTTTATTGTACACCGATTCCATTATTGTCTGTATCATAGATAATAAAAATACTAAATTATACTTACTTTTTCCACTGTAACGTATTGGAGCAGTAACAGTAGCAGAAGTAGTACGTTTTGATCAAAGCTGACGTATTTTTGCTAACGAGGTTGAGATTTTAATCACGGAAAACCTGGAATAAAAGGCAGTAATTAATAATTTGATATTCCATTTCAGTAATTCTTTTCTATATGTACTCATTAAACATTTTATTTGCTCATCAACTTCAGCTTCATTTTTATCTAATGACTTTGGTGTTGTTTTCAATAAATAGTCTGGAGCTTTGCTTGTCTATCTTGGAATCAATTAAATACTGAAAGACATGACATTTCTGATTAAAAGAAAATTAATTAAATTAGCTGCTTTATGTGAATGAATATTTGAATGATTTTCAAACCTTGAGAATTTCAACATCATTCAAAATCACTTCAAATGACTGATGGGATTGTATATTTTTTTGTTCAATCGATGCATTATTATCATCTACAATTGCATACAATCTATTGAGAATGATTTGATTTATTATATTACTTGAAATTATTCATCATCAGCTATTGTCAGAAGAAAACAATATAGTGGATTATCACAACGATAAAGTGTATTACCTAGGACTAAACATTCTATTCAAAGCTCCTTTAAACTCAATATAATCAAATATTGGAAGATAATTGAGCTGACTCACTCGCCAGTAAATTCTGATAGCTCTTGTATTACACAAATCTGCTAACTTCCAAATATAAAGTTTTGGGAAAATAATTAAGTCAATTATTAGATAAAGTGAAATATGATATAATATTGGATAACTTATCTACCTTTGAAATAAGATCAGAAACGCTTGGGAACCATCGATTATGTAAACTTATATATACTTCTGCTAGCTCTAAGCTTGGATTTCTAATAACAGTAACCTGGATATGAAGTTGAGGATGGTTTAACATTAATAATTACTCAGATGGGTAAGTAGATTTATTATTTATTTAATTTCAATTTTTATTAATATTTATGAAGTAGATCAAAAAATTCGTATTAACTTGTGTTTATTATTTATCAAGATAAGTAACTAGGTTAACACTAAAAAGTTATTTCCACTGGTTGAAGTTGGTTGAGATTTTCCTGTTATAGTTTTAAATTATTGAGAGATGATATAGATAGTCTAATGTTTGGATAATCATAATAAGATTGTCTAGTCAATTCATATTTGAAGTTATCCACTTGTGAATTTAACTATCTGCTTGCATTTTAGTATGGCATAATACATGTTCAGATTTATGGCGAAATTTATGGCTTGAGTTGATGTAAACCCAAGAGATATCTTATTCCGATGGGAATGTGTTAGTAAGCTGGAGAACTTGAAAAATAAACTACTCTTTCGACACAATTACAAACTTATTCAACAAAATGTGCAGAAAAGAGGAGCAATAAGAGGAATATTATTCTTTGTAATTCATTTTGCAGGATTTTGTTTTTTTTATTGAAAAGAAATAAAATTTTTATTCGCAAGCATATTTTTACTAGAATAAGAGACATTCTGAAATATTTTACAAAAATAGTATTCAAGATAATTTATATTTTAAAATTTTTGGAATATTTAATAGAATAAAATAAGAATAATGAAATAAAAGATTTTTCAATATGCAGAAGTTGATAAAAAAAAGTTTATTTATATTTAGATACTTTTATTTTTTCTACTTTATTTTTGAAAGATATGTAAATATAATATTATTCAGAATTATTAGAATACTGATTTAACAAAATTGACATAAAAGGAATAATTCTTGGAAAGCTTTTCAAGTTGAAAAATTCAGAGCCCAATGAATACTGATGTTCTTATTAACGAACCAGTCATCGTACAATATTTTCTAATTTATGAATGCTTGAAATAAAAATTTAATGAAAGATTCAATGTAATATTCCATAAATTTAATCATGAATGCATATTCAATGTTTAGATGGAGTAAGTCTTTTGTGAAACTTAATAATTGGTCACTAAAAAAGTTGAAAAAGGAACCGATTATTTTGTTTTAAATTTTTTTACAAGATAAATAACAATACCTCTAGGTTACAAATTACAATTCTTCTGCTACCCAATAATTGGAGTTATATTTTAGCAATGTGCAACCTTTAACCTTTCATTCTTCACTTGTCATTTTAAGGATTATTAACTTGTTATTGATCATCATTATTATTCCTCTATTATATTCTAATAACAAAGCTATTTTTGGATCAATCAAAATAATAATTGGCTTTTTTAGTACAATAGAATGTATTCATAAAACAAAAATCTAAACTAAATCCTATTATAAAAAGAAAAGCTATTACATTTAAATTCATGACTTTGAAATAAACAAAAAAAATATAAAACAATTCTAGGTACGCATTTAGAAAAGTCTTGTAAAAAAATGTTAAAAAGTTTCTACTAGATTTGATATGTAGATTAGTATGAATCCAATGGATATAAGAATTGCCGAGAAGAGCAAGAATTCATTCCAACATCAATATGGTGTTTCACTGTTAAATATTCTTTTTTTAGAATTCTGTCTGTATCAATAGATGAAGCATATTGGCGTATAATAAGAATAGGATTGAACGCAAATAATGAAAAATCCGAGTAAAGAGGTTGACTGAACGTGAACACAGTGATGAATGGAATTTGATTCGATAGAAGAACACTACCTTGACTCTCAGCAAGAATATAAGTAACGAAAACTCTTTGGCATCCATATTCTAGTAGCATTCTCGAACGACGAGTGTCGATCCACGCAAAAGAGAGTAATCTTTGTGATGGAAATGCTGCTGCTTTCATTCATGTTATGTTACAGACCCTCGACTTTTGTGGATTCCATGCAGAAGCTTCAATATACATCCAACGTTTCTCGAAGTCGTTCTATCCAAATCCACTAGTATTTCCGACGTTGCTGCTCTCTTTGCCAACTACCTCGTTATCTTAAACTTCAATGGTCTGTATACTGAAGGGCATAACACAGAACTGGAAGTGTTGAATCTATGAGGTACTACATCAGGCAAAATGCTTATTCAATGCTTTCGATGGTGGTTGACATATCTTCACTATATAGATATATACACATACTCATGTATATTAGAGATGAGAGCATTGCTGCATAAATATCACTTGATTGCTTCAACGTACAGGCTAGTGATGTTAAGGAGCCCTCAACCAACTGCGAAGGGGAGCCTTTGACCTCCCGAGAGACTATCGACTCTCAAGAGCAACATGAAATGACAAAAATGCTGTAACTTTCGACATCCTCTTTCCCAATTGATTACGTCTTCACTTAGGGACCAATTTTATGATACATTTATCATACTTTCTCAGTTTTTATTCATATAATAAAAATGGATAGTTATTGAAAAAATTGATAGCTTTGAGAAAAATTGAATTAATAAATATAAAGGGAAAAAAACTATTTTTACAGATCGAAGATACAAGAAAAGTCAATATTGTTTTTTATGGTAATATATTTTTTTTGTTGTTGGAAAAAATATATCTTGAAATTTCTTGCTAGACAATTTTCATTGATAAATGGTCGCATCAATAAAGAAAAACAGACTATGTAATCTCTTGTACTTTAAATGTAATTGTGACACTTTTTCAATCTTAATCTTTCATAACATTCAAATGGAAATCATTTTAATGTTTTACTTTGTATACTAGACAAAAACATGATAGTTGCATTTTTTATCCTTCCGTTCCATCATTGTCAAGAATAAAGACACGTATGAAGTTCCGAAAAAAAATATGTAACAAGATTGGCAGATGATTGGGGTAATTTACGGTGTGGAGAACTAATTAGATCATCCAGAGAATGCAGAAGAGCAAAGATAATGAAGGAAAAAGCATGTTATGAAGATATGAATAATAATTGATGGCTGAATATATTCCAGTAAACAATGCAAATAGGTAATTGACTGATAATTGATGAGTTTTCTACGTCAATATATCTAAACTGTACATCGCAGTGAGAAAGAGGATCGAAAATCCGTTCAAGCTATAATGGTGAACGACGTTGGGATTAATGTTATTTGGTATGAGAAGGTTATATTGAACGTTGGTTAATCAACCATACTACCAATCCTCTCGGTAAACATGTATACTGAAATGTTATTTGGTCAAGTCTGATGTGCTTCCCTAGAAATCTATAGGAAACAGGCAAGGAAACTCCGCGAAAACAACTGGAAATTTTGTATAAATAATGTTAAAAGTGTTGTTTTTTTTGTATTGTTTTCTTATTGTTATTAACAAAGTTTTATCGTTCAAAAATGTAATAACAAAGAAAACTTTTATTCATAATATGTGGAAAAGATTTTTTCACATAAAATATTTTTTATGATCATTATTTTACTCATTTTATGAAAATACAAGAAAAAGCTTTTTAATCAACAATATATAAAATATAAAATACATTATGTTATGATAGAAAAAATATCTTTTGCAAAAATTAACATTTATTCATATGTGAAATATTTTTTATTTAAATAAATGTGAATAGATCTTCAAAAATGTACATCGTTTTTTTTAGTTAAAATGGAACAAAGTTGATAAGATATTCTGTGAAATATTTTTCTATTTGTAATTCAATACTTTAATTCTCACTGAGAGAATGTTTTTGTTAAATAAATGATTAGTATTTCATTACTTGTAACTAAAAACAATTTCACCGATGATAAGTGTTGTTTTTTAGCGAAAAGAAATATTTATTTCACTTACTCAAATAATTCGTTGATCATATGTAAATATATACAGGAGAAAATTCTCTTGACTTATATTTTTAATAAATATCAAATATGTTTGAACCTAAATTGAAATATTAACGTTACTGCCTTTGGAGCATTGAATAAATTTATATCAATAATTAATATCCCTTGTAAAATTTACATAATCTTTTTTTATGGATTTATTTTTCCACATAAATAAAAATTGACAGAATAATTTCAAAAGTATTGACCTACAATAAACTAAGATAAAGAAAAATATCCTCTCACACCAAAGAGACAATTTATGCCCATGAAATGATGATTTACTTCATGGATACAAGAAAGAAATAGTTTATATTCACATTATTCCCCGTGAAAACATAAAATAAGCTTAAGTTATCGAATAGATCCTGCAGAATA